TAGGGGCACAGCAGGTAGGGAGCCTGCTCAAGGGTCTTACTGGCCCACTGAACATTGGCAGCCCAGAGGACTATGGTGGGCCAGAGCTGAAGCTTTGGTGGGCTATATCCAGCTCATAGGTTATATTTTGCCCTACCCCTTGAGTCACAAAGCTGAGAGACAAATAGAGGAAAGATGCTATCCAGATTGTTGCTGTGTAGTGCAATAGGGGAAAAGTGCTCAAGAATGCCTCCTTGCACCTCCAATATATGGGACAGTCCAAGTACTCTCCTGAGTCTCTTTGTTGTAGGCAACACAAGTGGGCTGTGCCCACGAAAGCTCATGATACCATCTACATGTTTTGTTAATCTTTAAAGTGCTACCAGATTATTTGTTGTTTTTTAAGTTTTTTGTATTACAGACTAACTCAGCTACCCCCTGAAACTTTTACTCCCTTTTTGAAACTCTGTGATATGCAGTCAACCCCCTCCCCTACCCAAAAACGGGGAAGGGAAGCAATGGAGCACTAGTCCTTCTTGGGAAATAGATCTGGTAGGTCACAGATGGAAGTGCATGATGTATCCCTTGAATGTAGCTTAGCAACAAGCACTTTCCTCCTGCAGCAAGGAAGTCTGAGAGATGTTGCAGCTCTTCAAAATACAAAGCCTTCTAGCATTTCCACTGGAGTGATCTGTTCTATGCTGCCTCACTTCAGTGCCATATTTGCAAGCCACAATAGTTCATAATTTGTTTGATCCAGTTTCCAGCTATACAGTAATTTATATGTTTCCACAAGAATATCCATAGCTTAGCCTAGGAAGTGGTCTGTATTGAACATTTTTATACTCCCAGCATTTTCAGTCCTCTCTAGAGCACAGCCTGGGGTTATTTTGTTCCTTTTCCTATGTGAGACAGACAAACTTACACAACTCTTTAATCTTTCATAGAAGAAACATGAGGAAATGTTTTCATCAGTGTAACTGCCTAATTAGTCTTAATGCTCAAAAACAAATAAATTAAAAGGAAAAAGGAAATAGAAATTTGCAAGCAGAAGGGAGAAAAGGAAAAGGAGTAAGAATACCCCAGGAGACAAGGGGGAAAAACTTCAAACCTACATTCTTTGTTTTCTACTGAGATGAAGGATTGGCTCCCAGAAAAAAGAGAGGGTCGGTAGGAAAATGTTATATACACAAGCCTTTTTCTTTTTTGGAGTGGGGAAGGATTACTAAAATATTTAATATTTCCTGTGCTTCCCAAGATAATAGGCATTTGTTTGTGATGAGAATGCAGACAAGCGGTAAATGAAAAGACTGCAAGAAACTTAAATATAAAGAATTTTGTGGAGAGAGTAGACAACTGAGATTTGATAAGAAAAGGTGTCCATTTATTTTACAGAGCATTCATGGTCTGGCCATTTGTGGTTGCAGGCATGAAAAGTGGATGTCTAGTTCGGGGTAAACATCACAAGACTGGGAAATTCAGTTAGGATAACTGTCCAAACCAGTTTGGTTTGGAGGGAATAACTTTTCTTTCAGTACATTTCTACTTCTTATCATGGCCAAAATCAGGAAGCACAGATACTGAAAAATTAAGAAGAAAAGGTTACCAATTTTTTAAACCCTAAAGTGTTTGTTTTCTACACTGCGTTTTGTGTAACTGCTCAAATCTGATCTTTATCCAAGTAAATCTGTTTCTCCAAAGATAGAAGTACTGCAAATATACTAGTTCTTCAAATATATTATCAGTTAATGGAGAGTCTCATTTAGTTCTAATATTAGAGTAGCTAATCTGTAGGTCTACAATCCACACTGCAGAAAGCATACGGTCATCACTATTTAATTGTTAGGAATTTAATTCCTCATACACCTTTTCAGTAATCACAGTTTAATTGTTCCTCATACACCTTTTCAGTAATCACAGTGAATATTCAAATAGACTACTTAAAAATAACTTCAGTAAAATGCCTTCAGTGCCAAGCCATTAATGATGGCACAAAACCCTCTCCAAAATATCATATTCTCCAGGTCAGTTTTGGAATAGATTTTTTTGATAGAAAAAAACAAGATGAATTACTGGATTTTGTCCATAGTGACATACCTGAAGTTGCTAGGTAATTCTGGAGAGTAAATACTAATAACCTTAAAGTTTTAAGGTTTCTTCTTCTAAAGAGAGACCTAACAAAGTTCTCCTTAATTTACTGGCTTGTAACAAGTGTAACCGTACTTAAGTAGTCATAAATTATAAAGTAGAAATGAGGCCCAAGTTTGAAAATTGGGTGTGTACAATTAAGCATGTAGGATCACATTTAGATGCCTCATAGAGATAGAATAAAAGTAGTCAAATGTTTTTCACTATATACAGGGCTCAACAAACTATAGAATCTACTTGCCCGTGGTGAGTAGATTTCAGCCACGTGCCCTGTTTACCTGCGGCGCGCGCATGCACAATGAGGCTCTTGCGCATGCGCAGTGCGGGGCTGGCAAGCGACTTTTGCAGCCGTTTGTCAAGTCCTGACTATATATATAGCCTAATTTTGCAATTCATTTAAAATATTGATTTTAAATTGTTTAAAGAAGTCAGAAGAATACCCACACAAAGCCTGAAAAGCATGCCGATAAGATTTTAGAAAATTTTCTGTACAAAATGTACTTAAAAAAAAAGGAAATTTTTGTCAGTTATGCATACTTGTGATGTTTGGAAAAAGCTACTAGAGGAGGAGGAGGTGATGGTGGTATTCTTCGAAAAGCCACATAGTTTAATGGATTAATCACAGGGCTGGGAGCCAGGAGACCTTAATACTTTGCAGATATAAAGCACTTTATGAACATTAGCTATGAAGTAGAAAAATATTATTATTCCCATTTAACTGATGGAGAAACTGAAACTCAGATGGACTCAGAGGTGTAGACTATCCCCTGCAAAGTGTCATACACATTCTCTTCCAGTAATGAAAACTAAAGGGTGACTGGAGAAAGCAACCCAGAGGAAGAGAGTAGAATGGGAATTTTGGAGAGAGAAATACGGGAGAGCAGTCATTTTCATGGCAGGAAGAACCCCTGTTCTCATTCCCCTAGGGTACATAATAATGACTGTATTGGGTCAGATTAAAGGCCCATCTAGCCCAGTACTCTGTCTTCCAACAGCAGCCAGTGCCAGGTGCCCCAGAGGGAATGAACAGAGCAGGTAATCATCAATGGTGTGTCTAGACTACAGGGTTTTGTCGACAAAGGTGGACAAAATAGGGCTGGAATAGTCCTCTCTGGGGCAGCCTGCATACTAAACCCCTCATTCCCAGCCCCATCCCAAAGCAATGTTTTAAATGAAGAAAAACAAAAAATTGATTGAGGTAAGGACTTAAGCAAAGCCAGGTAAATCTTCTAGTGTCAATACAAAGAAAGAGACCACATTCTGTATACCACAAGAGCAACTTTTCATATGCCTGCTTAACAATAAATTATTCTGATATTCACAGAACCAATTTTAAACTGTTTAGAAGTCTAGTGGAATTCCATTTTGCCATTTATACAACATCTCAAGAAATTTTAATCAAATCCCACTGCAAGACAGAACACCCGCATTTTTCTTAATTATCCCTTTTATTGATTATAGCTCCCCCTTTTCAGTTAAAATTATGTTGCAATATGTAAATGTCAGAGTTTGCTGAATGTTCATGAGTGCATTGTCGATACTGATATAGATTATTAATTGACCTATATTAGGAATGCAAGTGCCTGAAGTAGAGGGCTGAAGGAGTATGAAAACAACCTCCCCCCCCCAAAAAAAATTATTTGCTTGTGAAACACAATGGTGAATAAATGTTAGTATTATTCCGGTTGGTATTCTAGCTGGTTTATTAAACCCTTCCCTGGGACAGTCTGTTTTCTTTCCACACTTCTACAGTACATAATTCAGCTGAGTTTCACTTTTCTGAAAGTGTCTTTATACTATAGAATTACAGTTTTATATAGATCGATGTGCCATAATATACATTACAACTCTGTTCCCTGAATTTTGGGCCAGATGGGATACATCCTCTACAGGCATCCAGGCAGTTCTTATTTAAAAGGAAAATGTACAGTTCAGCTTTTTCACAGGACACTAACTGATTTTAGTACTCAGCATGCACAGGATACATTTTAGGCAAAATAATTAATGCAACTCACACTGCTATAATGTAGTTTGAACTGATGTGGTTTTCTAAAAAATATAATTTCAGTATGGCTCTATCTTAACTAGTACACACAAAAAAGTTAGACACATGGGAAGTTATTTTACATAGTATAATCTACAAACAGCATTACATAGCAAAGCAATCATTACTTTGGTTCTGATGGAGAAATCAGTTATGATTAACTGAGTATGCAGATATGATGAATCCAGTTTCAAAAGATCCATCAGATCTACAAAATATCCAGATTTTCAGGAGCAATGTAGAGAATGCTCTATATGCAGTTATAAACTCAGAAACCCAAGACACCTAGGCTACGTCTAGACTGGCATGATTTTCCGCAAATGCTTTTAATGGAAAAGTTTTCCGTTAAAAGCATTTGCGGAAAAGAGCGTCTAGATTGGCATGGATGCTTTTCTGCAAAAGCACTTTTTGCGGAAAAGCATCTGAGCCAATCTAGACGCGCTTTTCCACAAAAAAGCCCCGATTGCCATTTTCGCGATTGGGGCTTTATTGCGCAAAACAAATCTGAGCTGTCTACACTGGCTCTTTTGCGCAAAAGGACTTTTGCCCGAACGGGAGCAGCATAGTATTTCTGCAAGAAGCACTGATTTCTTACATGAGATCGTCAGTGTTCTTGCGGAAATTCAAGCGGCCAGTGTAGACAGCTGGCAAGTTTTTCCGTAAAAGCAAATGCTTTTGCGGAAAAACTTGCCAGTCTAGACACAGCCCTAGGGTTATAAGCATGTACACATTTGTTTCCTCATTCACATAGTTTGCAAGGATATAACTCATTGGCAGACATGCCCCAGCAGCTGGAAATGTTAGTGTATCAGATTATCTTCCCTACATACCCCCTCTGCTGGTGATCCTGATTCTGCAATAGTCTGCTTCTTATAATTCTGCCCTGTGGCCACATCAGGTAGAATCCCACTCCTTCCAGGGTAAACCAGCAGTCTAACAAAAAAGGAAAGCCTGAAATCTTATGGCAACTATGCCAGGCCCTCAACCCTCTCTTGGAATCCTTCACTCTTGGCCTCTTTCAGGCTTAAAACCTGTACTTCCCCTCAGATTCTGGGGAAGAAGTAATGGAAAATAGGCTCACCCCCTCCTGTGGGTTCCAGCCCTACAGTCATTCTTCCTTAAATCCCTTGCCACTTCCATGGGCTGCTCCTTCCTTCCCCTGCTTGTTAGTGCCCAAACAGTTTTCTTAATGTTGCTGTAGATTTGTGGCTTGTGATGGCTTTGCCCCAGCTAGCTACTGAGGTACTTTCTCAAGTCACTCCCAGCCTCTCTAGAAGCAGCTAGACTATTTCAAACAGTTCTGCTTTCCTGCCTTATTACAGGAGTCCTTCAACTTCTCTCCTCTGAGCTGAATTTGTAGCTTAGGCTAGCTGTAGGGCTCCATTAAGCTTCGCCTTCAGCTGGCCCTTCACCCCAATTAATCCAAAGGCTCAGCAGAAGGCTGACCTGCTAAATATTAAGAACCACCCATCTGCTCTCAATGCTGCTTACCCCCAACTGAGCCAGAGTTCAGCCCTATTAGGTGCAACAGGGCAAGACTGATTGAACTCACCATCTCTCCTTAGCCCATTCAGATCCAGTGGGAGGCTGGAACACCTCATTGTATACCTATACAAAAAAAAATCAAAGGTTGTTTTTAGCCTTCATCAAATAAAGACCTTTTCCTGTAGGATGACCAGGCCTAAGGAAGGAATGCTGGGATAAAACTTGGGTTGAAATATGTTTTATTTTTTAGTTACCTTATTAATAATATTAAAGCTCAGAATGAGTTTTGACCCTATACAGTACATGTAGACTTTGTTTTGGAACAGGATAGGTATGCCAGCTGATCACACCAAGAAAACAAAGGAAAGCATGGAAAATGAAGATGGTTTTTCAACCTTTTTGTGGGTGCCCCAGAACTAATTGAGTGATATAGATCTCAGATGGGTAGCCATGTTAGTCTGTATCTACACACACACACACACACACAAAAAGAGGAGTCCTGGGGCATCTTAAAGATTAACTGATTTATTTGGGCATAAGCTTTTGTGGGTAAACCCCATTTTGTCAGATGCATACAGATGATACAAGTAGTATTGCTGTTCATTCTCTGTCTTTCATGTGCTCAACATCAGCTGCATACTCTGAGGATATCTTCACTTCAGTTGGCCGCTGTACCACCCTGAGAGCTGGGGTATTTGCAACAGTCAATCACTACACTTTGCTCTGACCTAACCTCCAGTCACATTACTAGCACGGGAAACTGTTTTAACAGTTTTAGTATTCTTCATGTAATTTTTAACCTTATGTTAGAACTAAGAGTTCTTATTTTTGTTCCTTTTTGGTATTGCTATGATTTTCTCTTGAACATCTCTGGTTCAGAGGGAACAACAGGATTTGGTACAGCCTTCTGAAACTCTTGCTGAAGAACTAGGATGTATCAGGCAAGCTACTTGTTCTCCAGAACAGAATGCGGGTCAAGTAAAACAGGCTTAATTTTCCAATACCTGTCCCCAAGATGGGTGTGTGCTACTTTGCTTGAGCACAATGGAACTGTTTTATTTATAGCAGTCATATTCAAAAGAGTTGAGTACTTCATTAAACCATGCTCATCTTATATTGTGATCTGACAGTATAATAAAACAATAATAGACAACTAAGAAAAAATGTTTTTAATGTAAGCAGTTTAAGTTAGACTCAGTTTTCTCTACCAAGTGAGGACACAACTGAATGAAGGGCACTGAAAGAACTTTTTCTTTTCTTACAATACACACCTTTCCATTTTCATATGCAACCATAGCCAACAGCAATGAAAGATGAACAAAAGATACCAGATGTTTGTCCCAGCCCACTGATGGGAAGACATTTTTTCAAGGAATGTTGACATTCTGGCATTCAGGACATTGTTCTGATGGACGCCTAAGTGGTGAAATGTCAACATTCTTCACTTTCTCTTATTAAAATATTTGCTGTAATGTGTAAATAAAGACTAGAGAGTTTTTCTTCACATCACTGTGCTGATACATCTGGATTTGTGTTTATATTGGTCTGCATCACAAGAAAGTCCTTCAAAGCAACTTTTTTTTAAATGGAACCTCTGCAAAGTGTGATGTTTTTCTAAGTAAGATTTTTGTTTGAGTTTGCGAGTAATCCTAAATGTTTCAAGTGAAAAGAAGATTGCTTGGAAAAAGCCCTTACTTGAATCCTTCAAGCACTTAAAGTATGAACAGAGTGTTACTACATAAAGTATCATCCACCAAAACTATTTGTTTTGTTTTATCCTGAGTGATACAAATGATGCATAAAAATGCTACAAATGCTGGGTTATTATAATTGTAATAAAACCATCAGAGTAAAAACATCTTCATGTGATATAGACAGCCACCACTTTACATCTAATCATTCCACTTAAAAAGTAATACACGTATAATATTACAAAATAACGAGTTAAAATTTCAATTAAAAACCCATAATGCATCCTGAAGAGAAAGGAGAACATAGCTGGAACATAATTTTAAATTAACAGGAATAATCCAGTGCTCCTGTGCTTTCAATATAAGTTTAGAGAAGAAAGGGATTGTCAGGGGAAATAATCTAAAGAGTGAGGACCTATTATTGGATAGGATAAAAGTAACACAAAGAGTGAAAAAAATTCCAGCATTCCAAATAAGTGCTTAACAGAATATACAACAAGCACCAAAAAGCAAGAGATAAACATAAATCTAGATATTAGAGAGGCAGAAACCATAAACAGTCACTTAACACCACTGAGTAAAAGTGGTTTTCCATTTCCTTTATTTCAACAGCAAATATAGTACCTATAATCTAGGCCACATGAATAGGAACACACGCAGAGGAATGCCATACAAGACACCATCCCTCCAGATCTCACAACACCTTGACAGCAGCTGACATGACAGTTTTTCTTCTTTTCTTAATTAACACTGTTCTGGGACAGCAGTAAGAGGCTATCTAAAGCAATTACTTCATAACTTGTGTCAGGCTGTGTCCAGACTCAGGGGTTTTTTCGGGAAAAGTAGCCTTTTTCCGAAAAAACTTCCCCTGCGTCCAGACTCAAGCCGTGTTCTTTCGAAATTAAATCGAAAGAACGCGGCTTTTCTTTCGATGGCGGTAAACCTCATTTCAGGAGGAAGAACGCCTTCTTTCGAAAGAGGCTTGCAGTCTAGACATAGCCTCAGAGACTAGAGATCAACAGAACGTGGCAAAGTGTCAACCAGGGAAGATCAATATTAAATGACATTATGTTTCTTCTCTCTTTGTACTTCTTTCTCAGTGATACTTGTAAAACTGTATTTCACAAGACAATGGATGACAATCCACATTAAAGATACATCTACACAAAATCCTTACCTTGAAATAAGCTACAAAATTTGTGCTATGCAAATTGCGTAGCTTATTTCGACGTTTATTTGAAATAAGGTGCTATTCCAAAATATCCGTTATACCACAAGCAATGAGGTTTACAGGAACATTGAAATAGCAAGCCCGTTATATTTTGATATAACGGGCTTGCTCTTAAGATGCGGAATAGACGTAGCCTAAGACACCATAGAAAGATTATCGACTGTGCATTTGAGAGAGTTTGTCTGCCTGTCTGTCTGTCCATCCCTGTGTCCTTTCAAGAACTTCTCCTGAATGGTAAGAACTAGGACCTCCAAATTTGGTATGCAGATTTCTATTATCATAACTTAAAGCAAAGTAGGAGTTTGGTTGTGCCAGGACAATGTGATGTGCCTGGAATATGATTGTATCATAAAATGGAAAAGAAGGGATCTGCTATCAGGGACAATTATACTGTATAATGACCACAGGGGGGCAGCAAGAGCACAGAGATAATGACAAGGACAACTAGAACCCCATTAGGGCAGCAGGGGACAGGGGTGGAGAAAGGGGCAGCTAAGTAGTATATATTTGAGAGAGTTTGTTTGTGTGTCCCCTAGCCAGGGGACATGCACCCCTCCTTTGGCTTTGGCCACCACAGCAGCTGTGGAAAGGCGTGTCTCACCTGGCCCCAAGCTGTTGTGTTGAGAGAGGGCTGGGTGGTCCTCTGTGTATACTGAACCCATCATCCTTAACTCTATCCCAGAACAATGATTTACATGAAGAAAAACAAAACACTGAGTTAGGGACCCAAGCAATGTTGGGTAAATCTTCTAGCTACAAATAGTTTGTTAAAAATACATATTCTGGTGGAAAAGCCTCCCAAAACGTACTGTCTTGCAAGATGCTGATCACACTCAGCCCCACTGACTTTAGTGGCTGCTTAGGACACTCAGGCCTCAATCCATAGAGAAACCTACACCACATTGCAATGCTGTGTGTTACAATGCCTAACTTTTAGAAATCTAGAATATCACAGGAACAGCACTGTGATCCATAGAGCCTGAATTAGGCACCAAGGCTCCTTATACAATGAATGGTAAGAAAGGTACCTAGAATGCAATCCACAAAAGTTAGCTCTCTACGTGGGGAGCTGCCTAAGATAGCCAACGGAAGATACAAATGACAGGGATGTGTGGTGAGCCCCTCCCCTCTCTCAAAAATTAGCACCTTGCTCCACACTGCAGAGAGGTACCTATCTCTGCTAGCAAGTCACAAACAGGATCAACATGCCTCGCGACAGGTAGCTTAGGTGTTTCTTGCAAGAATGAGTTAAGCTCGTACCTTGCTCCTCACTAGACAGCCAGAGGAAGAAGAAGTGGTGGTGGTGGTTTTGCTGCCAGAACACACTTTATAACTTTTTTCCCTGGGGTTAAAGCACTCACCTGGGACATGGGAGATCCAGGTTCAGTTTTCCTGCTCCTTGGCAAAGGCAAAGAAAAGTGAGACACACCTGTTCAAATCCTAGCAAGAGAGTTCACTAACCTCTGAGTTAGACATTATAATTGGCTGGTGATAACACCATTACCATCTTCTCTTCCTGCTAACTCATTTCTTCAAGAGATACCTGATGTGCCTAAGACATCTGACTCTAGGGCTGGGTAGATATCTGTCTTTCTGGTTCATAGATCACTCTGGGGTTTGAGTTGAGGATATCCATTTGGATGCCTAGGAGCAGGCCCACTGACGGGAAGGTAAATGGTGGCAACTGTCCCAAGGTCCAGTGAGTCAAAAAAGTCCGGGGCTTCCGGACACCACCTGAGCCTCTGGAACCCTGGGCACTTTAAACCTTTGTTAGAATGCCACATGACATGCTCCAGACACTACTAAGAGCTGTGGAGGCATGCTGTAGTCTGGGCATTACTGACAACTGGATGCCCCGTCCTGCCCTTTCTGCCTGAGGCCCTGTTCCTTCTGGGTATATGGAACTGCACTCCCCCCACCTTGCCCAGAGGACCAGCGAGGCTGTCGACTCCCCCACCTAGAAGGAGGCGCAACACAAATGTCCTAAATGTACACACTTGGGAGCTCTGAAAATGTAGGCAACAAATGAGTTGATGTGCTTATTAGTGTTACATGACGAACTCGCAGGATATGCGTTTCACCAGGTTTATTTCCTTTCTTCTCCCTGGTGAGTCCAATATACCCCCCCCATCCAAATAAGCCGGCGTCCATCCCAGTCCGAACGGATCTGCCGTTAGTCCCTTTTACTTGTCCATAGGGGT